ATCGAGCAATCCCGCTCCTTCGTCCGCGCGGCGAGGATGCTTTCATTCCGTATTAATAGTCGTAATTAAGAGCAACCGTACGGGCGGTAGAACGTCGACGGTGTTCTTCCAGGCATATTCTGTCCGTGATACACGCGACAAGGTCACGTATGCAAAGTTCAGGCCATTATGACGCTCGTATTCAGATGCAAATTGGCTGGAAATGGCGCGTCTCTTAAAATATACTTACGACTCGCGAATGCGTCGTCGAGATACGGCCCTTTATTTCTCTCTCTTTCCCTCCTTTCACGAATGAGCGAGCGAACGAAGGAGCACTAACGAGTACAGAAGGTGCCAATGCGGCGATACAAAGCGTGCGTGATTATGACCGAGAATGAAAAACAGCAAGACTATGCGGCGCAACGTCGGTGGGTTTCGCGAGCGTCTTAATGACAGGCCGCATAATTAGCGAGAAACTACGCCAGCGCGCTGTGAAACTCTGTCTAACGATCCTCAAACGATCTCTCGGCGCGTAAACATACGTACGAATTTCGTTTCTCTTTCAAGAAAAAAATTTACGTGCAGAAAGATGGTGAAGATTTCGAGATTACTAATTCCTTCGGTAAAACATATATGCAACGTTATATGTGTCAATTAATAAAATAATTAGGAATTATTTAGTTTTATTTATACTTGTATACGTATCTGATTAAAATAATGATTGATTTTTATTATTAAATTAAAAAATTACAAAAAAAGAAAATTAATATAAATACTCTAAGACAACAAAATAAGAAATCATATATAATACAATCAGTTTAATAAATACAGAATTAGCGATAAAATTTTGATCAAGATTTTCAAAAATAAATCATAAATAAGAGAAATAAAATTTCACAGAGATAATGTGCAACAAAGTCGAAATATATGACAACTACCATGCAATAATATTAAAATATAGTACAAAATTATATACTTATATGTGTAATGAAATATAAATGCTGATCAACCATCACTGAATTTCACTGGCAAATTACATGGATGGAGCAGAAAATAATTATATGCCATAGGAACCAAAATGTTCAAGATTCTCCGCGTTAATTCCACTTTTACATAATTAATGATATAAATTATATTCATCTTATATAATTGTCCTCTTGCGTTGTGACATTAAACTTATACTTGTATTTAATGCGCGTTGTTCATACAAAATCATGTACAATCTAAAATATTGTACAGATATCATAAAGAATGTTTTAATAAAAAAAAGTATAGTAATTAAATGATCAGTGACTGAAAAATAAATTAGAATCAACATATACATACATATGTTACGATATACGATGTGCATATAAAGTAACATATTGATATATGCAGATAAATTAATCTGAATTGTTTTCGCGTATAAATTTAAATCATATGTTAGCACACCGGGGTTTCATCATCTTGTTTATTTAAATCTACGACGTGTTGCACAAACGACTGTATCGCGCTGTGTGCAACAGAAAATACAAGTCGCGATGGACGCATCTTAATCTGCTCTCTGAATAATTCGATACATCGTGTGGTACTTTTTCATGAATTTTTTCACGAGAGAACTCGAATTAATAGATAGCAGCTCGAACGGCTCTGTATTCGCCATGCAATAACAAGCGTGAATTGCAAGAATCTCATGGTTAGTCATTTGCAAACTTCGACGCCACGTTCGATCGATTCGTTCAATTGACTCCTCTTCAGAAGAATCTGTCGTAGACATCAGCATACCGGTTCCGTGTTCCTGATGTCTTTCTTTCCTTTTTCTTTCCGATCATGATTGACGTCCCTAATCTCAACCGGTATAATGATTCATCACGAGCAACGACGCGCATGATAAAACAGACGGATTACGTCGCGTATACACACATACACGCATAGACATCGACGATGGCTAATTCAATCGACACAGCATGCCGCAGGCTGTTAGACAAAGCGTCGACCGACTAATGAGGTGTCATTGATTACGAACATTCATTTTGGCACGAGACAAGAGATTCTGATCATAAGCGTGACCTAAATCGTCTAACTTACACGGCTGTCCTCTTATCTCTAACAAAAAATTTGAATAGAAAAATTTTTTAATTTTTAGAGAATAATTTAAATATTAGAATACTTCAACTTAATATCGTTTATATTTATAAAGAAAATTAAATAATATAATCAAATAAAAGTGGAGACTTTTCTCCCTCTGTTTCTCTTAAATCGAACAAGAATAAATTATAAAAATACATTTTCTAGCCTAACATAATACAAATATAATTTTCCGCGTTTTTCTTCCCTTTTTATTATCAAGGTTTGAGAGATCCAACGGAATTTCTCTAGTCTTTAAAGACAGAGATTCACAGTACTTGCAGCAACAAGTAAATCATAAGAATCAACACTATCATAAGGATCATCAACGACAAAAAGAGGTGCGGTAGAATTTGACGTGTGAAGAGGCAATGTTAACAGCACCAGGGAGTGGATATACGGCAACGTGGGCGAATTATAGCAGTTTACCAACCCACACGCAAACCGACCAAGGGGCCATTACTCAATTCCGAGATAAGGAAGAGGAGATTGTCGGATTACGTTCGCCGCCGTCGAATGACGGTCTAGCGTCGGTCAAGTGCATAAACCGATTCCCGGGGAAACCGAGAGAATCAGTGCGTTCGCTAACGCGGAGGCGTCGAGGGCGGCGATGCAAAACCGCCGGCGATGAAGTCGGCAGGACTTCTCGAGGAATTACGACGCGTAAACGGCACTTGAATAGATAATATCGTACCACCCACGATGAGAGATCGCAATTGCATAATCGTCACGGAAAGACATTGCTAAAAAGAGTAATTAACCAGGAATCTTGCACTTAAGAATCCCTTGCAATGCCTCGCATTACGGGATTAATATTACTACTCGGAGTTTGAAGATGAGTTTCATATTTCATGTATGATCGATAAGAAGTTGCATTAACATCGAGAATCATTGCTCGAAATGGCTAATTTACATCCTAATAATACCTGACGTTTTTATGTTTAATTCTGGCCGTTCGCTTAATACTTGTGTTACTTTAAGCGTTATGTTTATGCTATAATGTCGAGCGATCGTGACTTAAGTGTTTTATATCATTACTCCTGTCGGGGATATTAAATCGCCGTTCGCGTGATAAATCAGCTCGCCAACGGGATACGTATAATCTTAAATACGTATCAAACTCTGTTACCGTACTTACCATAAGTCAAACTCGTTATAATACGCGCTACGTCATGCGGTTCAGTATATTTCGTCGTGTAACGAGCGGAAAGCAAAATTGCCGTCTCAGTAATTTTCATCTGAATAAACGAGTAAATTGAATGCCCTGCGTTATTTTCACTCAATCCCCGTTCGCTCGTGAGAAAAAGAAAGGTGAACGAATAAGAAACGCATGGGGGAGATGATTGAGTTATCGTTATCCTTGCGTGACTTCGTTCACAAGTGAATTGATGCTCGCGGTCCAAAAGAAAAAGAAGTGGGATATGCGCTAGCTCAATTTCTGCCCTTCTCTCTCAAAATTAGTTTTCCATTCTTACAGGAAAATTACAGCAAACTTTAACGAACTTAATGGATTACGGAAAGAGAAGACATTTGTGATGGATTAATTGATAGAAGGAAAATATCAGAAGTATACTGCATGTTTCATCAAACAAAAATTAAGAAAGTGCCACTTCCTTACTTGTAATTATTGTTCAAATATGTCCAAAATTACGTTTAAATAGCATTGAGAAATTTCTCACATACCTATAAATTATTTGTCGCATATCTCTCATCGTCCAAAATAATAACAGTTTGTAATACATTATGCGTATTACTTCTTAAAATAGATATTTATGATATTATATTTTATTTTGCATATACATAATTTATTATAATATGGATTTATAAACGGGACTCAATGAAAGTAATAATCACGAATAAATTAAAGACGTTTTTATTGATTCTTCCAAACAGTGTGATTCGAGTTAGTGCAACACAGCACTATGGGCGACGCTGCTGTTGGTAAGTCGGCTTGGTTGATCAGTCTATTACGACGAAGCGGAGCCGAGTATCGGTTTGTGTATTTACGTGTGTGTATGTGTATATGGTGTGTTATATCGTTGCATTATCACAATACATTATTAACGTCAATTGACGATGAGTGAAATAAATACATAAAGGAGAAGCAGGAGGAAGAGAGAATCAAAAAACAATCGATGGCCGACATGGGGAACGAAAAAAGAAACGGGACAAAGAGAAAAAAAATTAGGATCATTAAAACCGCGCTCATTGAACTCCCTCCATTTCGGCTGTTTTCGAGTCTCTCCCTCTGTCTTCGTCAGAGATCAAATCAAACGGAAAGCACGATTTCTGAAGCGATCACATTGGACGGGCAATCGGGAAAGGCAAAATCATCAAAGCCGAGAAAATCCTGGCTAGAAAAATACGAAACAAACACATGTCGATGATCTAGCGAGTCCATTCTCTAATACTTTTTTTACGTTTCCAGAGCTCTTGAATTTTACTACTAACGCATAGTAGGTAAACTAAATCATATGGTTTCATAAGAGAAACGAAAAAAGTACGGTTTTTTTTTACAGATTCTTAATGTCAGAAATTAAAATTCCGAAAACCATAAGATCTGTCGATCAAGCGTTTCACTGTCATACATTTCTCATCAATGTTTTCACATTTTCTATCCTTTTTTGAATCCCTTCCATGTTCCTCGTTTGCCTAATATTTGTTGCGGCTGTTTTTTTTTACTACTATTTACCATTTTTTCGTTCTCGTATTTTCCAGTCATTCGGTGAATATAAATACAAATCCTAAATATCTAGAACGATAATGCTTAAAAAAAAAAAAGAAATTTCTTTTGCTCTTTCTTTTTTTCGCGTACGTCGCGATTTCCGTCGGTCAACAGGTGGTGAGGATTCCGTTCGAGAGCATCTTCGATGACGTGTTGGGATTGTTTTTCAAAAACACGACTATACGCATCGTTCTTTTTCTCTCTTTTGTTTATTCGTCAATTCTCACTTCTCTCGGCCGCGACATTCGCATAAGCGAATCTTAACAAATTTTTTATGCGCTTAGAGAACGGTAAATAAATTAGGTCACTTCCGCCGATGCATCGCCAGAAAACTGTTCGTAACAGGTTCCGCGGCTAAATCAGCAGACGTCGTTCACCGTTCCTATTCGTCGAAAAACACTTGAATCTTCCCGGACTAAAGTCGCCATTCCTTGCAAAGAGGTACATAAAACAAATGCGCTGTATTATCTCTTCGTTATTTTTCAAATAAAATTTTACGATCGCTGCATTGTTCGTCATCCGAGAACGTGGATGCGTTACAGAAGCTGCATACTTTTCACAATAATGTAATGCGCAAAAACGTGCTATAAGTTACGCTGTTGAATAATCGAGATTGTTTAAAGCAAAGTCACACACTTCGGTCTAACAAAGGAAATCTGTGCAAAACAATCTGCAGCAAAAGCGACAATTTGTTGACAATGAATAAGTGCAGGACGTATAAGACATGACGTTTCCCTTTTTTTAATCCTTTCATTCAAATTTACTAGACAACTCGGGCATATATATTAAAAATCCTAGATAAGAAAGGACTTTAAGAAAGGCCGCTTATATGTATAAATACGAATGTTTTTACGACTTAGTCTTAAAATAGGCTCGCGCTGTAATCGCTCGTGAATCAGTCCCAAGAGTGTTTTTACTTTTCCTGCCGTACGTTACGTCCGATAAACTCAAATAGCGCATTTTATGCAGCAACCGAAAATACGTCGATACAACAGCGACTACAAACATCGCACGCAATCGGATAAAACATAAACGAACATTTGCGAATGGCAGGCCTTTTTCCTCGGATACGATTTGTAGGAATCCTCGAAGAAAAATCAACGACGATGTTATTAAAGCAGTCTCTCTCTCTCTCTCTCTCACTCTTGCTAGCTTTCTCTTTTCTCTCTCGCATGCAATTTCCTTGTGTACGCATTGCACGATTATGCATCGATGCTTGGCGCGGCTCCATCTTAACAAGGAACCAAGGACAATATTTATCTGTCGCCACTCGGCAATAAAACTTGCCACGCAAAGTGCGACTAGCCGGCAGGAGAGAAATATTGCTAATATCATTCTTCGCGTTCGCTCGGGAAACACGCGCTCGCCACGTACGTCAAACTCGTCGCACAAAGCGCACACCCGTTATAGCCCAAACGGACGTCGTCGTTGTCGCCATTGTCGAATTTTTATGGCCTGCCCTTCGTATGCCCAGCACCGCGAACGTACTGAATACTAACAAGATTTCATCGGTTTCCTCCCAGTTTAATCCGCGCGCGCTTCTTTTTGGAGAAACGGCTACTATATAAATATTCATGAATAATTCCACTGCGTTATATATCTCGGAAAAGTGGAACGCCAAACCTGTGTCTCTCCGATTGCCGTTTGCATTTGTAATACATAGCTATTTAGTAACTGCACGTTTTGTAACTGTAACGAAAAAACAATGCGGTATTCTTTCGAACTTGTCTCTTTTTGAACACGAACGAAAAAAAATACTTCTATTATTCCATTATTTGTGAATACGTATATTCATCTTCTTCCATTTCTCCAAAACGAAACGCGTATCGTACGCAAAAACACCCATTCAAAATATCCACCCATTGTATTCCCCAATCGTACCTCGTCATCGTCGTCGTGTTTTTCCATCGCGCGCTCCGAAATCGTGACAACAAAACGCAGTTTCTTCTATACACATATAGACAACGGAGATAATAATCTAAATGGATTCGCCTTAGATTCTAGACTTATCTAACGATAGGTGGTTTTGCTGAGTTTGTCGTGTGCATGTGTGTACGTGTATCCTATGTGACGGCGTGTAATGACGCTGGGTGGCTCGTATTACGTGTCTTGTCAGTCTAGCTGACGTATAATGTCGCAGGGAAACGGGTACAGGTGGTATAGTTTTCGTATAACGCATACAAAACGACGTAGGATTCACAGGATTCGTCGCGCGACCTCAGTCCTCTCGACTGAGACTCTCTCGATCATCAAGCGCAGATTTACAGAAGAACGAGTCGACCTATCACGATGCGGCTCGCAACAGACACGGCATATCTGTGTGTACGTGTGTACGTGTACGTGTGTATGTATGTGACCGGCCGACTCGCTTCTACGTTTACTCGCTTCTACGCTCTGTGTAAATCTGCGCGATGGCCTTTCGCTAATGTAGATATATGGTATATATATATATATATCTCGGGATATAGTATATCTCTAGAACGCCTGAATCCTGCCGCGTAATTTCTTGCCGCGCCTTCCACCCTCGCTCGGTCTCAAGCGCTTCGACCCGTCACATTTCGATCGCCGTGATAATCGGTCCGTGGCGGTGACCAATCGATTATAACATTACCGGAAGAAATTGACAAAAGTTATTTAACGAATTAACGATGAGATCCTTCACCGTAGTTTTTATAACTGCAGTTCAAATCTCTATCAATATCAGAATCCTGAAGTTCAAATTTATTTAGTATGTTGAGTACCGATGACATTTCGTTACAGAGATGAAAAAAAGAAACTCTAAATATCAAACATTCGCAAGGTTTCATTTGGAACGAGACTATAATTTGTTTAATTCATAGAGGTAGATTTGAGAATGAAGAGGAGAGAGAGAGAGAGTGAATAATGCAAACTTCGAAGCTACCGATCGTGAATTCTGGACGAGTTGGACATCGCATAACGGAACGCGTGACAATATCTTGCCATCCGATTCCAGCGGGTCGAGGCGAAATGACGGCAACGATAGTTCCACTTGATTGTATTGATATTGTACAAATCAATAACGCGTTTATCTGGTCCGCTTGCCGTTATTTAGCAGACACAACGGTAAACGACGTGCATGAGGGGGAGATAGGGGGAAAAGCGAAACAATGTTACGAACTCGGTGAGCTAGCTGCCCGGTTATCGGTGCTCGATTCCGAGACTGAACCGTTGCATCGAGTTATCCGATAAAACGCGGCGATAGTGCGCGATTAAACGCAGTTACCAGTAGAGACGGTAGCTCCTTTCACGCGAGGCGGGCCCCTTTCGCGGGAAGAAGAAGATGATGATGAAGATTCTCTCTCCCGCCGGGGGAACAGTTCGACCTACTATCACGCGCGATCGGGCGCGAAGGGAGAAGCGAGGTAGAAGGCGCAGACGTCGATTACGATCGGCGGCGGCGGTGGCTAGCCAGCAACGGACCGGACCGTTCATCGTTCTTCCGATTAATTGCTACGTTACGTTTTAAACGGTCACGTCGCCGCTACTCGTCTTGAGTTGGCGGTGGTGGTGATGGTGATGATGGTGGTGGTGGTGGTGGTGGTGGTGGTGGTGGTGATGGTGGCGGCGGCGGCAACGACTACGGCGAGAAAAAGCCGGCGTATATCGCAATCACGCGAGCGTGTTGGTGCGTGATCGAACGAGACATGCGTTCACGTGCAAGTATACATCTTAACCCTCGTGATTAACCCCTTGCGGCTAGTACGGCGGTCGAAACTACTTTTCCCGGACGCGCCTTATAAGCACCGCACGCGACGTCTCGCGTTTCCGTCATGAATGGCGCGATGCGTAACCGAGAATATCTAAGTGTTTCACGGCTAAAGTTAGTTTAGTTCGCGTTACAAATTCGATTGACGATTTAGCATTTTTTAACTGTTGCTCATCAGCAAGCCGCAAAACGGCGAAAGGACTCACTAAATTTTTTCGAGTGTACCTTACTCCAAAGAATTTAGAGAAGAGAATGTCAAAGTACGCACGGATCGTCATTTTGCAGATCGATCGACATCGAGGAAAAATAGCCGCTGTCTAATTACGCGTGAAGCGATATAGTTTAGTATTCTACGCATCGATCTCGGGTCTACGTCGGAGCCAAGACACAATGGAGTATAAGAATTGGGCGTGGGATCGCGGAATGAGATAGAATAAATTCATGATAAGATATAATCATTGTGTAGGGGCAATCGATCGGAAAACAGATATAGTCGAAGCATAAGAAAGATGAGTGGTCCCACGTCTACAGAAGGGCACAGTGAAGGCATTCCGATATTCCGATTGGTAATACATAAAATATCAGGAACGTTATACATTTTATTCCTTGTCCCTTCCACCTTATTTCTATACGTTCATTGTTTCTTGGCTCACAGACTTCTTTTACATATTATCTCTCGCCGTAGGTCATACCACGAATATCGTTGAAGAAGCAAAAATAAGAGAGAAGAATGTTAATTTTCACACATAGAGTCGTGCGTAATCGACGATTAAAACCATATAAGAATCATCTAAATATTTTCTATCGATAGGTATTTATAAATCAACAGAATTAATCGACTAGTGCCCTCCAATTCGTCGGTGCAAATAGAAACATTGAATGGATCGATTGCACGAATCTACGAATTGATTTTGAAAACTACGGACCATGTTTTAAAAATACGGAGCGTGTTATTACTCTCTGGTGATTTTTCTCAACAGCATTTTAGTTCAATTAACGTTCCGTCACCTCCGGATCTCCGAGCGAGTACTCTTGCGCGTGGCAGAGAGAACAAAAACACTTATAAAGATACGAAGAAAGTACCGATTATTGGAACCGATCATCGTGTCACAACCTACTACAAGGAAAATTCATGTGCTAAAAGAGACCCGACAGCACGGTCACGTGTATTAGCACATCTCAGCACGCTCGCGTGTACACATGTACGCACACAACACACGCAAGTGCACGCTCTTCCAATCCCGTAAGACTAACACGCTCGCGACGAGGCTGATCGACACCGTCTCTCGGTTGCTCAAGTCATTTCACTTGGCTGGACGTGGAACATCAGATGGAGTGTCGATGCGACATCGGTACCGACGCGACGGCGAGTCGCGTGCGGCATTGCGTGCACGCGCGTCGCGTCACGTCACGTCACGTCACGTATACTACAAACACCGTTAGCGGTGAGAAGCCCCTCCTCGTTGTTGCCTTTGACGCCGTCTTGTTGTCGAGGCTTAGCGGCACCGTTGTTCGCTTGGCTCTGACCCCCTTGAGATCCCGGACCACCGTAAGACTAAGGCGAACGTCAATCGAATCGTTTGCGCATGACGGGCGACCAGGTTAATATATCGTTCGTACTTCTCACTTCGTTTCGGAATGGGGCCAAATACCTCGTCGTCAACACCCACGCACTCTCCTCTTCCTTTTCTCCACGGTGATTCTACTGCCGTTGGCATTCGCCGTTTTGCTCTCACTTCGCACTCCACCGAGCGAGTCCGCAAGCGCTCGTTGCGCTCGGGAATATCTTCGATTAGATAACGACAACCCATCACTCCTCCGCCTGCAACAACGTGCGGAAATCCTGCTGCAACTTTGATTCGTGGTAACTCCATATATCGCTGAAGTCGTCATCTCCGTTGTCGTCGTCGTCGACCTCCCCGGTGAAACTCGACGACGACTTGTCTTCCTCGGCGAGACGTTCGGCGGGCGATGGCGACGAGTAGAACTTGATCTCCAGATCCCGATGACCGTTGGGCGACGTGATGATTTCCGTAGATACCTCCAGACCCTTCGGAGACGCGATGGACCCACCACCGGCATTCGGGCCCACCGCATTCGCGTTCGCTGGCGAGCTTGCTGGCGCGCTGCCGATGCTGTCGCCACGCCAAAGAGCTCGTTTGTGTTTCCCACTTTCAGACTGGCCCCCTCGATCGCCGATGACACCGACGTCCTTCGTCGGCGCAGTGATCTCCTCGCCGTAACTGAAGTAACTCGTCGGATCGCTCCAGCTACGCCTCAACACTACCCCGCCGGGCCCGGCGACGGGCCCCGTGTCCCTATTGTCGTCGTGCAGTCGAGAGTGCTCGTCGAACAATCTGTCGAGCGCGCGTTCCTGAAGATTCGTACACGGCGACGTCAAAAACAGCGGTATTTGGCCGAAATGACTACTGCGACAATACTCGACGCTGGACGACGACGGCGGTGGTGGCGGTGGCGGTGGCAACGTCGTCGTCAGGAACGGCGAGTACCCGTTCCGATCGACGTCCCAAATCAGGCCGGCCGGATCGCAGTATCGACATTGACACGGACCCAAACCGTCCCCTCTGGCAACAGTCTCGCAGGACTCTCCCGCGTATTCATGAACGTAACGTCGCGACAGGTTGCCGCTATCGTTGGCGTGATGATGATGCCGGTAGCCCTTGGGCGGCGCCGTGGCACGAATCGGCGCCGCGATCACGTTACGGTTGTCGTCTAACACTTTCACTTGCACATGATGCCGGTGGTGCGCGTACCGTTGCTGCCTAATGTCCGCCATCTCTGTCTGCATCGACGGCGCTCTACAGCCGCCGTAGATATTCTCACGATGGCTGACCGGTGGCCTCCGATAGTTCCTGAGATGCGGCGTGACCGCTTCATAGATCCTTGGTTCGTAACAAGTCGGTGCGTACGATTTGACACCGATGACGCTGGATTGTTCCCCGGCTACGACACCGCAACCAGCAGGCTGCTGCCGCTGCGCCTGCGGCTCCTCCGGTTTAGCTGCGTCGACGCCACTCGCGACGACGTTGTTCGGCGGTTTGCGATCCTTCTTTCTGCGCTTACGAGGCTTGATGATGCGAGGCAAACTGTTCTCCGAATTGTTCGAGCCGGAGCTCTCGTCGCTCGCGATACTCAGCGAGTCGATGTTCGCGATATTCGAGGAACCGGCGTTTTCTTTTGCCGTTGCGGAAGAACAGTCGGCGTTCGTCGCCGCTGTCTTGGAATTCGAAGATACCGTCGTCGGTGATTTCTTGACGGTAACCTCCATCGACCTTTGCGGTGCGATTCGCGACGCCGGACACCTCGTCGCGCCGTTCACGTTGCTCGTCATGGACGGGTTCGCGTTATTATGAACGTAATTGCCGGCGATGTTGCCGCAGGGTGGCGTATTAGTGATACCATTAGGATTACCACTGTTATTGCTGTGCACTTTGCCACGATTGTAAAATCGTCCGGCCAGAATGAGGGGTGCGCCCTGCGTATGAATGGCCAACCTTGATAGGGGACTTTTATGTAGATGACCGCCCGGTGGCACTTGCTGCTGATCAGTGCACGTCTGCTGCTGTTGTTGTTGCTGCTGCTGCTGCTGCTGCTGCTGTTGTTGACCGAGCGACGGCGATGAGCGTTGATTACATCTGCGCGGACTCGACGTCATTGATATCAGCGGCGCACCCGTCCAGCCGCCCGGACCGCCGTATTGCACCTGACATTGCTGCTGATCGGCCAGCCCGGGGTAACTCTGTCCTCCATTATAGCAGCCGCGCGCCTTACCGCCGCGTATCGTCCCTGGTTGTTCCTGCTTTCGGCAAACGGGCACGGGCTTGCCGTGCACTCCGGCGCGCACGTTGGACGAGATTAGACAACTGCCGATGTAACGCTCCACTTCCAGGGCGCCCTGGGAGGCCGGGCTCATCTTACAATATCCGCGGACCGCGCCACCAATGCTACCAGGCGCACGATCGCAATAATCTTCAACAATACGGAATAAATATGACACCTGCACTCGAGCACTATCTCAACTCCGTTCAGATTCTCTTCCTACGTGTCGTGACACATTACTCCATTGATCCTGATCCTTAAGCGGATAAGGATAGTCACAAACTAGCCCATATTCATAATGAGCTTTGACGACGATGGCTGGAGCAACAAAGTTCGGCACAAGACCGCAACGTATTCCGTAGATCGAAAGTAGGCCGGGAAGAGAGGCGGTCGCGGTGGTGTTGAAGGAGCATAAACTTGCGACCCTTCACCGAGCACGACCGAACGAGACCGCGGCCGGAACGACACTGAAGCTGGTGGTGCTGGCCGGAGCAACGTTACACCGTTCTCGGTCCTCTGCGACGTGGAGGTCTCCCTACCCGTTCTCGATGCTACCACCACCACCACGAGCATCAGACTCCCACCCTTGCGCCGTCGATGGCACTTCCACCCCACCATCTCCCACTCCTTACCTCCTTTCGATATGACGCCGCGCACAGCGGGTATATACAACGCGCGCGGCACGGTGTCGTATCCTTCCGGCAAACGACGACGCTGTCACAATTCGGCGAGAGGATCTTAGGAGAAAGCTAGGAAAGCGAGGGAGGAAGAGCGGGAACGAGACAAGTCGGAGAGCATCGTCGTCTACCCGTCGCAACGCTGACTGACAAAGACGAATTTACCTGCCTGCCCGATACTTATCCGGGTTTCATATACCCTGACTTAGCATAAATTTCATAAACAAATCCTGGACGAAACCTGCTTTCTCCATCTCTTTTTTTCCCTCCCTCCCCCTTCTCTCTCTCCCTCCTCTCTCTTTCTATCTCTCTCTCCCTCTTCTCTTGTGCTTGCTGCAGCGTGAAATATGAGTGAATTTAAAACGGTAGATTACAAAGAGGGAAAGACGAATTTTATGGCTTTCTGATCTTATTTTCGAGCGGATAAAGTCTAATCAAATTCCCATGGAATGTATAAAGGAAAAAAAATTTTGATAGATTTTCTCTTTAAATTAAAAAAATTGCCAGCCTTTTATCGCGGATTTCTATCGGATAGAAAATGTAAATTTAAAAAGAGGCAGGGAAAATGATGTAATCTCGTAGAAATATCAAAAGAGAAGCGATTAGTCCGAGTATGTTTAACATTCCATAGACCTGCGGGCAATTACATAAATTCTTCAATATCAAGGCTATTTTTATGTGATACAATAATGTACATCGGATAATGTCGATAAAATATCATGCGTTCCACCGATATCACCTTCATTTATACAATGAATCATAAGAGAAAAATGGAGTAACGATCATGTCGATGATTCATCGAGCGATAAGTCGCTCGTTTAAAATGCACTCCGCTTAAAATATCCGTGGTAATAACTCTTCGTATGCAAAACATCGGCTATCGAAGGACGTTTTTTATTTTACGCCAGTTTTAAATAGTTCACGTCAAACAGGTCGGACTAATAGCATGACGTAACTTCAGTTCTCAGGAAAATTACGCAACTCATGTTTTGTCGCGCAATAACGTTAAATAACTTAACAACATATCATTATATGTCACTTTTTTAAATACAAATAATTATCTAAAGTAGTGACTCATCCAAGTTAAAAAATGTGCAAAACAAATTGTTTGCTTTGAACGAGATTCAAGTGAAATATTCGAATACACGTTAAGTAAAAGTGAAGTAAATTAGGCGCGTTCGGAAATTGACATATGTCACTTTCGAAACAATCGACTATCGGTTTCCTGAAAATCTCGTAACTTAGGTCGTGCTCAACCCGAGGAACGAAATCGGCTATACATTCTCGGTGTCAGAGTAAACTAACCGACTACTGTCAGCCGTGAGGCAGTCGAGAGCGGAGAGAGTACGGAAGAGGAGCACGCTAGAAAGAGGTAGGTAGGAGGACTCCAATATCTTATACCAAGGCATCCTCACATCTGGGTCACCGCTCGAAAAGTAGGTCACAAGTCATCAATCCCTCGCAGCAGGCCACTCGAGTCGGATCTCTTTCCACCCACTTTCTCTTATCCGAAACGTCTGGTGCTGTGCGCGCGCAGGGTGGTTCAATTCTTTCTCGAAACTCTTCCATCGTTAGACGCATCAGGAAAGTTTGGCATTACGTTTCCCCATTATTACACGTATTAAATGCGCCTCTCCACTGCAGCACGCATCAAGAGGAAGTTTTAGGCTTTCGCTTGCCTGTTATTACTACACTTGCGGAGAAAGAAGTTTGAAACTGGTTCTCTATTATTAGATACATCAGGAAAGAGTGTGTTTGGAACGATCGCTCTATTATTACGTACGAGTCAAAGAAAAGTCTGAAAGCACCTCTTTTCCTCCCTTTCACACAAATAGCACGTTTATTACACGCGTCTGAAAAAAGTTCGCTGCCTGGCGCTTTATTATTACACTTCTCATTCAAGCGAACGCAAATGAAGTATATTGCGTGCGAAATTCCGAAAATTCCACCTTTAACTCGAATGCAAGCATTTTTCCGTTAGCTCCGAAGTAGATTAAATCTTTTTCCTTCGCGGAAATATCTTCTATATCTGGAAATACATTAAAACTCAACCTAATATAGAATATATGCTATATATTTTCATTTTATTAAATATTATATTCAATAAATATTTTCCATCAGCTATTACAAATATGGAAAATGTAATCATAAGTTTTTTATCAATTTTATTCCTGATATATCAAACAGATATATCAAACATACTATAAGAAATAATGTCGGAAAAATATATATTGATTTTTTCGTTGTTGCCTCAATGATAAGTGCACCTGTATAAATGAAATGGAGTCTAAAATGGAGCTCTCTCGGCATGGTTTATTTTTAGATTAGGGTCACGGCGTTTCCTAGTGTACGATAAATTGTGTTTCTTGATCAGAGATAAGAGGATTGCGATGCGATGGCGATGCGCGAACTATCGCGCGTCCCGATCGAGGATGTGCTATTAGCGATTGTTACAAACTGATTTTGATGTCCCGTCGCGCGATCGGTCGCTCGATAAAGTGACCATCCGCGATTAGTACCGCCATAGATTGGCATTATTGTGAAATGTGTCGAACCATTAAACCGCACCGCGACATTGTTATCACGCCAGAAACAAACAGTCGTTATAATTGTTGCCTCATTTTTATCTGATCGGCTGGCTGATAATAACCAGACATAGGTATACAGCGTAATAAATTTATGGTACCAAAAAAACATGCAGGTTAAAAAACAAACCATTTGTAAATTTATCGCATTACATTATTGCTACCAGTTCTACGATATTATAAACAAATAAATAAATCAAACCTGTTTAACAATTATTTATAAAATATTCAGAAAATATGTATATTTTAGTAATCAAAATAGATTTCTTTTTCTGGGACCGCAGAATACATAATATAAATAAAGAGTAAAGTCTCTGTCAATTAAAATAAATTAAAACAAAATTCTAAAAGTCAAAACATTTTTTAAATTAAAGATAAATATGACTATCTGATTCTCGGTTAAACTAGAAAAGCTCTGACCGAAATTGAGCACCGTGACTCTCCATCACAGATGTTCAGGATGAAGGAGAGACGCGGAGGCGCTTTTCTTGTCGAAGGTAAACGAAGCGCGTCGGGAAATAATGAAAAATAGACGAAGCGCGACGTGAAAGTGCGCTACAAGCGTACTTCAGAAAATCTTGGTCGATAAGTACGCTTGAATGAGCGATTCCTGAGTGAAAGCGACTACAACAATGATTTATACGCGATAAAAATCGGAAGGAAAAAAGATAGAAATATAAGATAAACTGAAATAATAACAATAAGAACTGCTTCAGCGAACGAATTTTGATAAATAAGAGAAATATTGTTCCATTAAAGGAACAAAATCTATCATTCGTATAAGATGTCTTGCCAATTCATCCATCTTATTTTTTAAATAGTAATGAGATTAAGGCATAATAACAAGTAAATATTTATAAAATATTTCAAAGCAAAACCTTAAATTCCCTAAACATTGAATATCCCTTAAGACATCGTCTTGCAAGAAAATTCCAGTCTAAATAGATGAAAGCGACGATTTTGCATGATTGTAATAGAAACGATATATGCGCACATAGAATGGAGAAGCGTTTATTAATGCTTTACAACAGGATGATTCTCGTCGCGAGATCTCGTAATAGCATCGCGCGTGAATATACAATACATACATCCTGTAAACGCGGCTGTCATCGTAGATAAACATCAAACAGTTTCGACACGCCGAGGAATTTATCGGATAATGGCGAGAAAAATTCGCAACTTCGCTAAAGACGGGAACAAAAACGTTCAGCGAGCCACAGTGAAACTTGTGCACGTACCGCGGAAAATGGGGTTGCTTTGATCTCGTGAAATAACTTTGATCACGCAGCGATATTTTCGAGCGATAATTTTTTTTTCAACGTTATACAGTTGCGGTTCGCTTGCTGGAAAATACATTGTGTCGAACACAAATGGCAGGAATGTCCATTATTTCAAGTACGGAAACCTCATTTAGAAATATTGATGTTCAACGAAAGTAACTTTGTCAGTTCAAAACGATTCCAATATAATCCAATCCAATTCCAATTTCGAGCGCGATATTGACCGCAACACGCATGTAGTGACTACAAATTTCTGTAAAGACCAATTTACATATAACATTTTTTTTTTAATCAAGCAAAAGACTTGCAATTAATATTTTATCTAAAATCTATAATAATATCTATTTCTACATAAATTTTTATAATATATTCATTCACAAATATGCTAGATTTTCAAGAAATGAGTGAGGACAAAAAAATTTATTTTTTTGTTATAACAGTACATACAGACAGATGACATTTTTTCTGTACTTTCAAATGCGTTAATTGTAATAAATGTATGACTTAGCCTACTTGAGATTGGAAATTTTCAATCGACATGCTCGACCAATCATGCCAATGTGAACGCTAAGGATACAAGGCGTTCACGACCAATAGGAAACTAACAACAGAAACCGATGCTTTACCTACACGGTAATCTCTTAGCGTAATCCGAATTAGGTCCTTCTCTACGTGTACAATGTCCCTTACGATAACAGAGCATAAATCACGAGCATCGATAATGAGAAATCCACTGTGCGCATTATGGCCGCGGCATGCACGCGGGCATCTCTGTAATGGGAATACGTAACTAACATCCCATGCCCATTACGTGTACCTGAGACCGTGGAGGTCGTTTTTCTAGATCATTACACCAGACTCCGGACGCCTGGAAAATTGAAGATTAGCGTGCACGTGAAAAATTAACGACAAAGATAGTAACCAGAGGAAGGCGGATTAATCCGTGATTTGTAAGCTGTCGATT